GAAATGATTGTAAAATGTCCCAAAAATAAATGAATAAAATAAAAGAACAAAGATATTTATATAAAAGAAGAAAGAAAGTTCAAATGTGCTCATTGTACTACAATATATAGTTATAGTGCTAAATATATAGTGCTGTATCAGTCCATTTAGTATGGTAGCCTGATGGTACCCATTGATTTCCTAAATGTTGTGAAAACTCTTAAAAAGACTACCTTAACCTTAAAGATGTGAGGTCTATCTCTAAACTTAGCCATCTCAAGAGTTTTGATAACGTTAATTAGAAGACTCGACCATTTAGTTGGTATCCCAGAGCGGGCAGTCATACAGATAATCTGAACTACCAGCAAACTCAGTTTAATATGCTCAGAAAGTATTGAAACTGTACCATGTCATCTAACTCCATCTGCTGAAAAAACATCCTGTGAGATAATCACAAGCTTAAAACTGCAAATGTACTAAAGAGCCTGTTTTCCTGACAAAAACTCAATAACACCTAAATGGAGGAATGATTTATTGCAGTAATAATGATGTTGTTGCAGGTTGAAATGAACTTTTGTTATGCAAATCTGTTCAGTTGAAAAATCACACTGCATCACTCAAAAGTTAGAAACGCACGCACGCACGCACGCACGCACGCACGCACGCACACACACACACACACACGCACACACACACACACACACACACACACACATACACTGTATTGTTTTAGCTTGCACATAATGCATTGTCATTTTTCAACTGAACTGATTTGCATAGAAAGTGCACAAATATTCAAATGTTGCTCACATGTTTTATTTTTAATACGTAGCTCTGAAATGGAGCTTTTAATTGCTCAACTTTTTCTTGAAGTATTTGTTATTGTGACACAGAGTCATAATGCTAAAGGCTTTTGTTGATTTATCTCCGTTAATGTAACACTGCATGAAAACAGGACGACCACCTGGAGAATTCGACAAACATTTCCACCCAGCGTGATCCTCTCAAACAGATCCTTTAGGGAGATAACACTCCTTGTTTATACACCAACAGTCCAGCTAAGTCATCATTCTCTGACCTGGTTATTCTTGGACATGGGATGTCTGCAGTAAAGGCCACAGGTTAGTGCACGCAGTGCTGCAGAGATGTGGGAGGCATGGGGAATGTTTTCAATCATTTGCTCCTCTGTTCCTTCCTTCTTGTGCTTTGACCCCGGTGCAAACTCCCTCACAACATCTTCCTTTAATGACAGCCGCTCAGCTACAGCGGCTCATTAGACTATAATGGCCTGACATGTTGGAAGATGGTTTAACCCTTGTATGGTATTCGGGTCTGTGGGAGCCATTTGATATGATACATTTTTTTTTCAAACCCACACTCAAAGGCCGTGGCTCATTTTCTGTGAAGAACATATATCAGAACACATTTTCAATGACCACCCACTGTACCCCCCCCTACACATTTACATTACAAGGTGTACAGCATGGGTCGGCAACAGGCGGCCCGCGGGCCATTGTTGGCCCGCCAGCAATAATATTTGGCCCGTAATTTTGAGAATCAAAAATAAAATATTATTTTGATTTTTTTTTTTTTACAACATAGGACCGACAGTCGCACATCAGGGTTTCCGTTAGCCACCGATCGATCGGCCGCCGGTCATTATCGGCCGATATTCACTCTTAATAGTTTGATCCGTGCTCTCTATAAAGGCCGATCAGGAGAGCTGGATCTGATCGATATGGTCATAAACGCGAGTGAAGTATAACCGGACCCGAGAGAGAAGAGATCAGCTGCTGAGTCTGATGGAGACACGCAGCTCTGCATGATCACCTGAAGCCCCGCCCACTGTTTAGCAAGCTGCATGAGAAACTGACGGGCTGTCAGGAGAGAGAGGGAGGGAGAGGGGAAAAGAGAGCATTCGTTTCTCCTGTGTTATTATTCAAAGTTAATGTAAACTTTTGAAAAATGTACTTCATCTACTACAAGTAGTTTGTTTGAATGTAATAATTATGTTGTTTGTGGAATCATTTATTGAAAAATGAATCTGAATATTTTGATCTGTAACGATTATAAACTGAAGAAATATAAAATGAGCCCCATTAACTGAGTTTTAAACATCAGCATATCCGGTCATAGTCCGGTGATTACCTGCTAACGGAAACTCTGCTACACAATTATTATTATTATTATTGAAACATGACCGGTAAGTTTCAAATTTGTCCGGTAAAATAAATTCTGTCCCGACATATCCGCTTACATTCATCATGTCAGCGGAGGGAGGGGAAGCGGCGCTGTGGAACAGCAGAGTGGAGGGAGAGCTGTCATCTTCCCGTTACAAGCTTCAAACATGTATTTATCGTGTGATTTTGGAAATAAAAATGTCATATTCTGAAATCCAAGACTTTGTTTATTTAAAATCAAACAAAACACCCGATCCCCGAAAAACTATTTTTTTACGCAAATCCACGTTTATTTTGAAATGAGCCGTTGCGACTTTCGACTGATTTCGATAGAGCGGGTCACATATGGCAAATGTGTGGTTGGGGGGGAACCAGGTCAATTAAAGTACTTATTTAACTATCAAATACATTGAGTTTGAGTAAAATACTTGGTTACTGATTAATTTAGGTTATAATATATTACATTGCAAAGCAAAACATGCTGTAATTGATTTATTTTGTCCTTTGGTATTTTTTAAAGGTTTTCAACCTGAACAAATCCTAATGTGTCCTTGAAAAGTTTAAATAAAGAAAAGGAAAAAGGATTCCAGTTGTCCCTCAAGCCTCTCAAATGTGGGCAAACACTCAAATAAATGCCAAAAACCCAGAGAACTTGACAATACCTATCAGAATAAAAGTATGTTAAATAACACTGCTATAATAACTCTACTTTACTCAGTGGAGGCTCGTCCATTGAGGAAAGGGAGGACCATCCTCCCTAACATTTCAGAGAAAAATAAAGTTTGAAGAGAACAATAAATACACCTCAATTTAAAAGATAAGTCTGTTAAAATACAGATAATAGCCCTGGCTTTGGGACTGAAATGGGGCTAGAGAGGACGAGCCTCCCTTTGGGCGGGTCTAGCCAGAGGCTCTGGATTGGGCGCCTATATTATCAGTGAACCAATCAGCGGATCTGACTGCGCATCAGAGTGTTGATGGGGAGGCTTATCAGCGATATCAGAGTTTTTTCTGAACCGGGGAACAGGGGCGCTGCGCCCTCTTACCAAAATCAATTCCTTGAATTAGGCTTTGATTATGTTCTGGCCCGCCATCTTGCGGCTCAGCAAAAAATTGGCCCACGGCCAAACTTACTTGCCTACCCCTGGTGTACAGGGTACATTACACACTGGACCCGGGGATAACAAAAGTGTGAAAATTGTAGGTCCTGTGCACCTTTCTGGGCCTTCTGTGTGTGTGTGGTGTTGTGTGTTGTGTGTGTGTGTGTGTGTGTGTGTGTGTGTGTGTGTGTGTGTGTGTGTGTGTGTGTGTGTGTGTGTGTGTGTGTGTGTGTGTGTTGTGTGTGTGTGTGTGTGTGTGTGTGTGTGTGTGTGTGTGTGTGTGTGTGTGTGTGTGTGTGTGTGTGTGTGTGTGTGTGTGTGTGTGTGTGTGTGTGTGTGTGTGTGTGTGTGTGTGTGTGTGTGTGTGTGTGTGTGTGTGTGTGTGTGTGTGTGTGTGTGTGTGTTGAGGGGAGACGTGTGGCGCAGTGGATAGAGCCTTGGTGTTGGGATAAGGGGAGCACAGGTTCCAAATTTGGGGCAAGACACAATAAATAAAGCTTCGCCAGTTTGGGTCCTTATCACAACTGATGGCCAAAAGATTCTCTGCTCAGAGGGCCTAGCAAATGATCTGGAAGAGAGAGAACCATTTGATGATAATGAAGAGGAAGAGGTTTCAGAATGTGAGGATCACATTTCTGAGAATTCTGAGTGACATTGACTTTGAAGAAGAGGATGTCACAATCTGCTCCCTCACTCACCTATTTTTTGCATTAGCATTTCTCAGTCACCTTAGTCACATCCTGTTTCTCTCTCACACTCTGTTACACCCATTAGCTCTGCTAGTTGAAGCCCAAAAAGGCAGCGGGTCCACCAGACCCACGAACACTGGCTGAGTAACAAAAATATGAACACCACACAAGGGTTAAATAGCTATATCACAATGTAAAACAAATTGGATGTAGTTAATATTACTTTAGTTAAGCAGTTGTTCCAAACATAAGGGTCATGCTCCCCTCTAGGGTCACAAGATAAACCTTTTGGGTTGTAGGACGATAAACGGGAGGAAAACAAATTGTGAAATAATGAAGTGTGTGACCTCTTAGGACCAACAACAGTTATTTAAGTGAAACCATTTGCGAGGTTTGCAAACTACTCATATCTGAAACATGACAGAGAAGCCAAAACACACAGCTTGTTGTTGTTGTTCTTTTATTGTAAATGTCCATTGGGTAAAAGCTTTAAAACCCTTGTTTTAATCTGTTTTATTTTTTATTATTTCAGATTCAGTTTCATTATACATACATGTTCACATTTTGTTCAACAGTTTTTCCATTTCCATTTAGCTGTATCTACCTAGCCAACATAAGAAAAAGAAAAATAGCACAAAAAGAGATCAATAAAAAAATAAATAATAGTTTTAATCTGTTTTACTGATTTAACACTTATTATCTTCTTTAACAAACATAATTGAGGAACAATTCACAGCATATAGTACCAAAAAAATATGTCATCTTCAGGAGGGTGGGTGTAATGGGTGACATTTGAAGATCTGATCTCAAAGGATCAAATCATTGACTGGATAAATAATCAAAGCTAATCGTGCTTATTCTTCAGATGTGTCATTATATCCTCTCATTACATTTTTCACTTATTAAAGTTTTTGTATCTCACAAGAAATTGTAGAAATTCCTCGTTACATGATTACTCATTACAAATATCTTTATGCTGTCTAACACCATTTTACTTCAGTGTCACTAAAAGGATTCTTCAGACAGGCCAATTACAAAAACTCCACAGAAAGTACATGTTATTCAAATCACGTTTATTCTGAAAGCAACAGCAGGTCGACATCACTTTCACTTCAAAAAGCGAGCCATGGTTTAATGAGCCAAAGGCATAATGAACTACATTTACAATTGATATTTTCTATTTTTTTATGACAGTGATTTGTAGGTAGGTTGATGAATTATACAAAACCAAAACATTGAAATTAAAATGTTTAATTATGATGTGGGGGACTTAGTGAGTTTATTTTTTACACAAACAACAACCCATTGAACACAAAGCATGTGCAGTGAGGGACGTTTCTATCCTTAAAGTGCAAATAAGTACAAATGTAATTTCTACGATCGAAGGTAGTAATTTACTCTGCATGTCCACAACACTTCATGCACACTGGCAAACACTAATTATTCTCTCTCTCTCACTCACACACACACACACACACACACACACACACACACACACACACACACACCACACACACACACACACACACCACACACACACACACACACACACACACACACACACACACACACACACACACACACACACACACACACACACACACACACACACACACACACACACACACACACCCTGTTCATTAACATCCTGTAAACACAAATTATCATATTTTCCTGAATAATAGCATGGAAAGAGAACAGACCACATTAACATCTGTAGGCAGGATTAAGTGTGGGAAGTTGTGTTTTCATGCGACAATTATTTATCAAATCCCCCCCAAAAAATAAATCACACTTATTGGAACATTAATGTAAACATGCTCTCTCTCTGTGGGATCTGAAGTTGACACTAATGGTCATGCCCATTTAACAAAATACCCCAAAAGATCCTTAAAAAGAAGCAAAAAACGGCTGCAGTTTACTCATGCCAAAACAAATGTATGTAGCAACACAGAAGATAAAAGCAGAGGTGTTAGTAACTGTTTCATTGTCTGTGTTCGCCTTTAAAAACAGAGTGGGCTTATTTCTCCGTGCTTATCGTCCGATTCATAAATAGACTCATTCACAAACCACAAGTGGACCAAATTATCTAGGGCTAGTCCTATTTACTGAGAAAAAATAGATCTTGTTCTCGCCATCTGTGACTAAAGGGGACTAAGAACTGATGGAGGCAGAAATCAGTTCATCAAACACTCCTGCAGCTTCAACCCTGGACGTTTAAATACAAATGGATTCAGTATGTGTCATTTACTCACTATAACTCATCATATAAATATTTCTGAATAACGACTATCAACAGAAGAAAACTGGACGCATATTTAATGTGAGCATAATCTCCCTGCAGTTGAGTTCTGTCTAAAAACATACACATCAGAGCAAAAATGTTCAGACTTTTTTCACAGAAATAGGGAAGCAGCGGTGAAGAGAGACCAGCTGGGTAAAATGTGCTTGGAAAATAAATTATTAACCCCCCCCCCATCCTTCCTCAACCTCTCTTGTTGTGTTGCCATTGTGCAAGGCACTTAACCCTCAGCTGAGTGGAAAATAACGGGGAGCTTCAAGATGTGAGAGCACAAAACAATAGGAACATAAAGCACTGGGAACCAGCAAATGTGTTCAGTGTTAAACTTAATAAATAAAAACGTTGTACGACTACAGAGCTGCCTGCATCACATTGTAGAGTTTCAATAGTCAGAGCATCCATAGGGACACAACACAGCTATTTATTTATTATTTTAGGAAACAAGTGGTAAGCATCTGACACAATGACAGCTGCTAACAGAGGTGATTCTGAGGGATGTAAGGGGCAGCCAGTCTAAAGAAAGCAGCTGCTGGCGATCACCTCCCACTGAAGTGCAGCGGCACATTCTTTGACGTATTTCCTTCTCTACATCCCCATGCTCGTAGCTCCAGCCTGTCCTCCTCCTCCTCTTTCTCCTCCTCCTCTCCATCGCCCTCCTCGTACAGACTGGGCTCCTCCACTGACGTCTCCAAGTTCGGGTTGTATCCGCTGAACGTCTGCGCCTCCCTGTACTCATAAATGGTCGGGAGGCTGCTGCGTAAACCGAAGCGGCGCCGCAGAGCCACGAGCAGCGGCTGCGGCACGGTGAAGATGTCTACGTTGTTGCCCAGGTCCACCCAGGCCAGGCTGGGGAACTTCTTGGGATCCTTCACTGCATCCGTCAGGTCTTTCAGGATGGCCATCGTCAGGCGGTTGCCATTCATGGCCAGTATGGCGAGTTTGGGCAGGCAGCCGAGGTTGGGCAGCAGCAGCCGTAAGCTCTCGTCCCGCAGCTCGGTGAAGCTCAGGTCCACCGTGGACACCGCCTCGCTGCTGCTCTGCAGGTAGAAGGCCACGCGGTGGACGTCTCGGCCGGACAGCGGGATGCCTGACAGGTTGACCAGGTCACCGGTAACCTTCTTCTTCAGGGTGGTCTTCAGACTGTGGGACAGAAGAGACAAAAACCCATCAAATTGTGTACAGGTTGTTGCTCAAAAAACACAACATGTCTTTAGTAATGGCAGTTTCAAAAGTGTGTAAGCACAAACTGTAGAGGAAACTTCTGTGTAGCATGCAGTGGAGTCACCGACTCAGGAAGGAGACACGGGAAGAGTCGGAGCTTTGATGTCAAACCACTGTGATTTATTTGGAGTTGGTACCAGAGTATTCACATCACAAATCCAAGAGTCAGAGGTTCTGACTCCACGGTAGAGTTGCCACGTCAATTCTGGAGAGCCTCTCTCTTGCCAGCCCATCTAACTGGTTTCGCAGAGAGTAAACAACATATTTTGAGGAGATAGCCTAAACAGTGTGGGAACACAGAGCTACTTGCCTCGGACACTTATGACCTCGAAGATTTCACCTTGGAGTCCACAAATACAGAGAAGGAAGTGTCCCAGTGTACCCACAACACAGACCATCTGTATCCCAGTATTGACCGGTCACAGAATGGGAACAATAACATTATTGGCTAAGCCGCCTGTGTCCTTAAAGAAGGTAAACAGACATCGAGGTTTGTCCTGTATGTTACTAATTGGCGTCTTATGATAATTATTTCCACAACACAAACGATCTTTTATTGATTTTGAAGCGCTCTCTAATGAGGTGCCACACTGTCCCACAAGTACAAGGGAACTGCAAAGCATGCACAAAAAGAAAATAGTAGAGTGTTGCAATCAATATTGTAAAGAATAGAATTTGCATTTAAATGTGTCTCAGTCCGAGTCCCTGAGGCAACAAATGATGTCTCCTGGGCAGAATGTCTTACAACAAAAAACAGCTGTTTTCAGTTTCAGGTGTCACGCTTCTCTGACAAGCTATCTCCAAGCCAGCTCTCTACAGTAAGTCGTTAAAGTCAATAAATATACAAATAAATTATTGGAAAACAGTACACAAGGCAAAAAAAGCACCTTGGGACATAGGTCATTTGCAAACAGGGATTCAGGACACAGCTGCATCTTTTTATTTGGATTTATAAAATCAGGTCACATCTGTCTGATGGTGGATGAACAAATAAAAAACAAACACACACGAGAACTTACTGGTGTTTTTCTAGTTCTGTTGCAGCCAGTCGACTCCGTACTGATGGACGGTTTGAAAATGATATCTTTGAGTGCCATTGATCTATAATAAAACGTACACTACTACTTACTGCTACCTACCTGTCCTTTATGTTATGTCAGAATGTGATACATATTGTTGGCAACAGACAGGAAGATATAAGGGTAGAGGATGGATCGGCAAACACACGATAAAGGGACAATAATGGATAAGAATAAAAGCTCAATAGAGGTAGGTGATCATCTATTTCAGTCCAAATGACTTCAGCCAACTGGTATGAGGTGAATCCCTCTTAAGGAAAGACACCACTACAACTATCCCACTTGTCAGGTTGGATCATTGTATTCCTCGCTGCCTCTGACAGCACTCTGCTATATGGAGAACATTTTGTCTCAGATTGCAAAGTGTGGTTAAAAATGCAACAAAGGGCTATGAGGAAGCTGCATGCATGTTATAGTAGAGCTGAAGAGTGAGACATAGCTGCAGCGAATTAGAGTCCTTTTGGTTACACTGGCAATAAGACTCCCAGGGAAGACATCTGCCAAACAAATGAAAACAAGCAAGGAACGTGGGAGACTTTGTGACAAATAGGAGAGAAATGTTCTGTTTAAGGTTTATCCTGTCTTTGTCTGTTTGCCTCCGCTCGCCCCTCAGCGCCTTCAGACACAGCGAGGATTTTCCCTGCATCTCTCTCTGCTCTCAGTTTGTCTGGGAGCCTGAACAATCCTCATGCTCTGCTCTCTACATCTGTCTCTACCCTTTCTGCTTGGTTAAGGGAAAAAAGATCTGTAGCACACTGGGGCCGTGATTCGCAAGATTATTGATTCAAGGAGTGGGCTATAATTCATCTCGCCCTCCTTCATATCCTCACTGTTGCTCACTGCCTCTCACTTTCTTGCTCTTTCTGTTTCTTGGCCTATTTTCTTATTTTTTTCTCAGTCTTATACATGTTCCCGTCTGTAATTGACTATCTGAAGCACTTGTACCCACACTTTAGTAATTCTCTTTTGAATAGTGTACAGTATTTGTAAATGTATTAGAAATCCTTTGTATTCAATGCTTTTTAAACCATGCTCAAAATGTAGTCCTCAAAATGTCAGAAAACAGTGACAGATACAAAAAATAACCCCCATAAAATATCTTGTTTTCTCTGAAAAATTTCCCACTGAAGCTGAAACCACTACATATTGGAATTTTATGCGTTACAAATTCCTTAAATTATTTATTAACTGTTTCATTTTATTTTTATTTGACCAATGTGTTCACTGACTAATAGTTTCAGCATTCACACATTATTGACTGACTGTTGAATCTAAAAAGGCCGGGAAAGTCTGACAGCATCTGCAGCTTTTTGGCACACTCCACCACTCCTGTGACTTCAGCGGCTTCTGCCCTTTACTGTAATGAAACCGATCATGGGCATCGACTTTCTCTTGAACTTATAGGAGGGTTTTTCTGCTTGTGCTGGAGGCGAGCCCTGCCCTTACACCTGTGTGCCAAAGCGTGTGTAGAAAGAGCTGCTGAGAACAGGTCAGGCGGTGTAGCTGAGTGGGTGGTGCACGGTGGGCTCTAATGTGCTTCTAATGAGGCGGAGTAAAGACGACTTTAGTCTTTCTTCCAAATCCTCCGCCCACAGGCTGCTCGGCTGGCTGCAAGCCCGGGGGCACAGCGAGCATTTCTAAAGCCACAGTGTGCACTGTAGTCCATCAGCATGAAATGATAACAACATAAACAACAACATGCCTCATCTCGCTCCCTCTGATGTGGCTGCCATGCTCGTAGGCTGTGGTGCATATCCTCTTGGACCAGTTTAGACAAAATCAACTTCAAAGGATAGTCTTCCTGCATAAACATGATGCGAACAACAACGACACTGCATCGGGAATCATTTAAAAGCAAACAACTGAGGGGAAATCAATGTATTGGCATCCTGAGAAGCAACTGATACTAGTGCAGGAATCTAATAAGATAATAAGAGCTGTTACGATTGGCTGCGTAATGGGGGCTAAGGATGGCTGTCTAATTGCTTTCCATGGAGTGTCTTTCCTCAGGGATGTTGTTAACTTTACACACCTAACAAGGGTCCTTGCTGTTATCTAGTTATGTAAATCCCAGCGGTGAGAAATAACACATTTTTGTTTTTGTGACGTTAAAATTGAGTGCAGACAAAGAGGTCAAGCTGAAAGAAAAAGTCAGAACAAAATCATAAAATATGTCAGTGTTTTAAAAGAAATGCTGCTAGAGAATTAGTGATTGAACCTGTATTTATATGTTATTGTACAGTTCGAGTTCATACTAAATAACAAACCTAGAATGGTTTGATCTGACCTGCTGCCAGTGTTTATGCAGATATTTACTCAGAAAGCCCAGCAACAAATGCACACAACACACTTCTGCTCCAAAGAAAGAGTGAAAACCTGTTTTAAAAAAAGCAAAGTACACATCTAATTTCTGACAAAGTATAAACTGTGTCCACTTCCACTAAAGACCTCAGCATCTTCCCAGCCTTTCTAATTGTTTGCTTTGCTCTGATTCTTTCCAACTGTGTGTGATCTCCTTGCTGCCCTTATGTCTTTACCTACCCTCTCCAGCTGTGTCTTGACAATGTTATTAGTCCTGTCTCTATATTAGCCTGTCTGTCAAAGTGTTTTCTTTGTCAGTCCGTCATCATTGTACTATTTAAGATAAGGTAAGATAAGATGGACCTTTATTCATCGGCAATTAATTAATTTCAGTGGTCTCTGCCTATGACCCATCCTAGTGTTAGGAGCAGTGGGCAGCCATTATGTACGGTGCCCGGGAGCAGTGTAGGGAACTGTGCCTTGCTCAAGGACACCTCGGTAGCACTTGGTCTTTCCGGGACTTGAACTGATGACCTTCCAGTTGCCAAGCCAAGTCCCTATGGACTTTGCCACCACCGCCCTTTAATGTCTTGAACAGTGTTGTTCAGCTTTTCCTGTTTCTGTATTTGTCCATGTGTTCTCCCTGTGGATTTGCAGCTGATTGATTGATTGATTGAAAAGTTTATTAACAGCTTGTATATTGGGTACAGTACAGTACAGCTCAAAACATACAATTGTTAAGGGGATGCAGACCAGAGAAAGACTTTCGTCTTGTTTACATCAGGGTCCCCCATTTCCAATTCATCATATCATTTAAGACATATAAGACATATTTGACATACAGATGGCTTATTTACAATTTACATACAGGTGGTTTTTTACATACAGATTGCTTATTTACAATTTTCATTTTAGATTTCGTTCTAATACATCCTAACCGGACATTTAAGACATACCAAGTCTACAGATATACAGTTAGTAACAGAGTCTAAAATGCGAGTATATACATAGATGGGGGGGGAGCTGTCCATTGAACGACAGGTTGAGATTTGTACCATTACCGGGGCCAGTTTTGCAATGCTCTCCCCCGAAGGTGCTCTTTAAGAGAGGTTTTGAAGGTAAGTATAGTTTTACTTTCCTTTACAGTTGTGGGAAGAGCGTTCCACCTTGATGTGGCATAATTGCGAAACGTGTATTCCCCCTTTTTTGTGCCAAATCTGGGTTTCACACATGCTCCCCTTTCCTCTTGTCATCTTGTCATGCTTTGTTACTTTCCTTTTGTTTACCTAGCTTGCTCTCTCAGTTTTGAGGTTTTTGCACCAGCTTTAATTGAATAAATCTTGCTATGTGTTAATACTTTTATATCTGCCTTCCTTCTTTTATAGTTGGGCTTGATTTCCTTTCCCCAGTGAGAAGATCATAACATCTTCATTTTTTGTCTCAGAAACGGTGTAGGATACGCACCTCTCAAAAAGCTGATTGTAGTTAATCCTGGTAATTTTGGCTCATCTGATGTTCCATTCAACTGTGGAGTACCAC